TAATTCCTAAAGAATTCGTCAAACGAATTTCCCCACCCGGCGCTTATTTTGAGTATCTCTCCGCTTACAAATAAAAGTTTTTCTTACACGTTTTTATTAATCGACTTTATATATTACTAGACTTCATAAAACAGTGTGTGGGTCTGCACGCATGCCTGTATACTTCCAGAAGACGAAGTTACGTCGATTTTAAACTCCTATGTGTGAAATGTAGACTGTAAACACATAAGAAGACTTGGAAAAATGTGTAAGGCCTAAAGGGAACTGCAAGGTCAATCTACTTTAAACAAAAATTGAAACTACCGTTAGCCGACTACAAATATTTTAAATAATAACTTCATGGCTCAATTATTGGAAAATGATTTTACAGACTAGGTTTACACGTGAATTTCTGGCAAATTTATTTCATTATATTATTATGTTTCATGTAATTATATCTTGATTATGTCAGATTTGTGACATGTTGCTGTTCATCAATTAATGCAAAAGTTTTAATAGTTACGTAGACGGTGAATATATATATATACAATACTGAACTCCTCTGTATAAAGTCGTCATTCTTGTATGTAGGTCTATGCATGCAGTTTGACGTCATACATCGCTTAACTGCTTAGTAGTAATCGTTCCATTTGTTCTGCATGAATGTGAAACATGGCTTCATATTTTGAGAAAAGATGTTTATCTGGGTTGTTACGCCATGTTCACTTGTAACTTGATACAAACTTTTAGGCGAAACATACTGCCTCCATCTTCAAGACTGAAACGCACAAGTCAATACGGCGTTAGAACTCAGAGGACCAACATCGATATCTTCACCGCTATGAGAACCTCAACAAGTGTTTGAAAACAAGGTGCCCAGGGAAAATTGAACAGTTTAGGCTATACAACTACTTAACCACGAACCTGGTGATTTATGTAGGTTGCCTAATATTGAAGATTTATTTCTTCTGGGTTGTTGCTCTGTGTAGTATGGTCGATGTTTACCAACGTTTCAGAGGTCATACTGCCTCCGTCATTGCCCTAATGACGGAGGCAGTATGACCTCTGAAACGTTGGTTAACATCGACTAGCCTACACAGCGCAACAACCCAGAAGACAGAAATCTTCATACTCATCGCCCTGATGCCGGAGGCAGTATGACCTCTGAAACGTTGGTTAACATCGACTAGCCTACACAGCGCAACAACCCAGAAGACAAATCTTCATAATCACCGTTGTGAAAACCTCAAATCTTGCTAATATTGTTAGGGTAATCAAATCAAGGAGAATACGACGGACTGGACATGTAGCGAAGTGACAATCAGTAAACCCCAACTTTTAGTGGCTTCTTGGAAGACCAAGAAGGAAATCGGGAGTAAAACTTTCTGTGAGAATGGAAGATATATGGCAGTAGCTCAGGATTATGTCCAGGTAGCAGTTGGATTCGGTGGTGGTGATAAGTAGTAGTAGTAGTAATAGGAGAGGTAGAACCGTTCGCCCGCCAGGCAACTAGACCACGACATCGCTCCTCAATTTACTATCGACGCAATTAACCTCGATAACAACACTGCCGATCTCACTGGCCGTGACCGCATGGACGTTGCCGGAATTTTTTCTTGTGTGATCACGAGTTCAGTTCCAGTAGTGTGGATTCATATATAGTCATATTATTATATGATAAATGAATGTACACGAAGTCGTTAATGAAGCTCCTCAGGTGACATACTTCTCCCAAAAAATCTGACAAAGGAAATCCCGGATATCTCTTGGTTAAAATCTGCTTAGACTTTTATTTTGTTTTAATTCCAGAGTTTTCAGTTATGTGAAATGTCTTATGAGGCTGGATATGATATGCTTATAGTAGCTATTCAACATAGATCCTCGTATATCGTCCGTAGAAGAGTAACTCCGTATAGTAAGTAAGGTCGATTGAAGATATTTAAGGTTCTAACAGCTGTAAAGATGCCGATGTTGGTATTCTGGATTGTGACTCCGTGTAGACTAGTAGGTACATAGCAGAATATACTGCCTGCATCTTCAGCCCTGAAGATGGAGGCAGTATGTACCTCAGAAACGTTAGTATATACCTAAAAATCCTCTCGGCGTCACTGCCTAGCAGATCAATATCGATATGTTTGAATGAAATTCACTGTTTTATGAGTTTCTGTTCTTATGATTAAAAGTTCTGGGAAAATTGTAGCTTGTGTTTCGGGTTATCACGGCGCTGTGGTCTTCTGGGTTATGACGTTTTGTAGCCTAGCTTCATGACCTAGAAGACTACTATTCAACATTTTAACCTATTATACATAGTAAAACATTCCAAATGTCATGCGTTGACACAAACCCCCACAATGAGGCGTTTAACTTTTTAGTATGACACAGATTTATGCGCATTCTTCGTACGAAATACATCAGGTGAACGCACAATTGTGAGGTCGTTTCTATCCACCGAATGATTATCTCCAAAAGTGGTTGACGGATTTATTAATCACGACGCCATTAAAACATATGGGGTAGTGGAGGTATAACTTCGCTGGCACCAGTTGGAGGTGAGTGGCCAGCTTAACCCTCCAGTCGCTGTACCGCCACAGAAGGGACCCGCGGTAACCATTGGATAGACGTCTGGGTGGGCCTCAGGGCCGGTCCTGACACGAAGGCTGAGAGAGAGATCTTTTTCCCCTCCTGCAAATCGAACCTCGGTCATCCCAGTCAGTCACTGTGCTCACTGAACTGTTCTTGTTCGTAAACTCTACGCCAAATGCAGTAATCATAGTTCCAGGATACTGCAATATTTGGTGTTTGCTATTTTTGAGCGGATTACCTTGTCGAACTCTTGGCTACTTCACGTACATGAAACACGCTTAATTACCGCTTTGAGACTAGAAAAAAGAGAGAGAGGCCGACATCTTTACCTCCGTAACCTACATAATCCTCGGTTGATGATCCACTGTCATACTGAGATTCGCCTCTCTAATTTCCAACGAGTCTGCTGTATTTTAGAACTGAAATCGACCAAAGGTCCTGTGGCGAGAATACAGATTCGTAGGGCATACGTAAATAGTAAGCAGGAATAGATTGTGAAGGAAATGAATAGGATTTGAGGATTTCGCGGCGGTGGATCAGAAGATGACTGTCTTCTGGGTTGTGATGCCGTGTAGTCTGATACAAGTTTACCAACGTTTCATAGGTCCCTGCTGCTTCCGTCATCAGGACATCTGAAACGTTGGTAGAATTCTACCAGACTGTACGGCAATAGAACCCAGAAGACAGACGTCTATGATGTGGAATGTTTGAATGCATTATTGTGGAATTTGTCTCGATGGGCTGGGTAAATCCACCAAAATCTCAGTGTAAGCAGTTTTCGGTCGATTTTCGAAACGGATACCTCTCGAATTCGAGTGAAGCTCACAGTCATTGAGCTAAATGTGAAGAACGAAGTACGTTTTAACTAAGTAACAATACCACCGACCGATTGCAGATATTGAAAGCTGAGGAAAATATTTAAAATATAATCTGTATACTGTGTTTCTAGGTCACGCTTTACTGTTTTTGTCCAGCATCGAAGTCTTCATGAAATTCCATAAGCATGTCGGAGATCTAGTGACATCTTGGACGTAATATGAAGACCTTGTTTTTATATAAAATTAAAGGGTAGTTTAGGAAATTGTGAGTTAAACAGAACATTTGCTATTGTGTTGTTGTTTTAAGTCTACAGTCTGCCTGTAAAAAATAAGACACTTCAAATCACATACAACTGACTAATTTTCCATAGTATCTGAAACTGTAATTTTCTTATGTTGGTCTAAATACAATTGCATTCCACCGTTCTCCTTACTGCTTATATTTGCCTATTGCATTATTACGTGGTTTTAGTCGTTTGTTGAACCTTTGAAGCACCAACTACTGTCTTATGTTGTATGAGCGGTACAGATGTATTACCATCATGATCGTTTTATGAGTTATCGCTCCAATGATGGAGGCA